ATAAACATTTAATATTCTGTTTCATTTATTATTATTATTATTATTATTATTTATTAATAATAATACGAAGCAGCAGCAAATTTCTTAATGTGTGTGAAGTGAATAAGTCTGAATAGGGATTTATGGTAGTAAAAACAGTGAGACTGCTACCTCTCTGAGTGAGGTGGTCTCTCTAATGAAGAACATGTTGATGATGCCAAGGTATTTGATGATCTTTGCTCCAGGAATGAAAGAGAGCGGGGTCATTTTGACCACTGCGACAGAACTGCCCGAGTAGGAACGATTTGACCGAAGAGAACGAGAGCGACCTTCAGGCAACGGGCTGGCCTTCTCCATAGATGATGCTGTTGAGAGTAAGAGAGAGAGAGAGGGAAAGAGAGAAAGAGAAGAGAGAAAAGAGGGGGGGGGGTGGAATATACCAGACATGGCCTTCAGAGGGCGCTGTACAAGACCAACGGATGTGACGAGACAAACATAGTGTGACCGAGGAAAATGGGCATAAAATCAAATATAATTTCGTAAATTGCATAAACAATTATGAACAAAACAGCATCAACATGGCCTTCAGAGGGCGCTGTACAAGACCAACGGATGTGACGAGACAAACATAGTGTGACCGAGGAAAATGGGCATGTGTGCATTTGTGTGTTGCAGATCAGCAGCATGTGATCAAAGCAAAGCAACAGTACTGCACCATGCAAATAAACAGCATGCAAACACAGAGACAGAGGAGGAGAGAAAGAATGAATGTACGCATGTTCAGTCTGCCTTGATAAATCAGAGGATGATGAGCTTTGAAGAGGGAGGACACTTTTTCCATCAAGAGTGTGAAAGAGCTCAATCTCAAAGCTGTAATACATCATACATGACGCTGCATCACAACTGTTACACAGAGCGCTAATGCGCATGCAGCTCCCAAACATCGCTCAAACTATCTGTCAGTGGACTGAATTAGGGCTGGGCGATATTAATGTGATTATTTTGTTGACGGCATACAATAAAGCAACACAGTGAATACTGCAATGATTTCAGTGGCTGTTGAGTTGATATTTCAGCATCTACATAAATATTGAGATATATTATGAAAAAGAGATTTTTTTTTTTTTTAGCTATAACGCCCAACCCTGAACTGTACAACCTGTGCAGCCATACTTAAGATGCATTAACGCATCATATGTTACTCTGCATGGGACAATGACAGAGTTGGTCTGTGCTTTATTCATACTCATCACATCAGCAAGATCAATTATGAAATCACTGAGGCACAACTGAAAGAGTGACAGTCTTCATCTTGGTTCCTCACTAGGACTCAACCTTCACACTATGTTAATCATGTTTGATTGGATCGGCGTATGGCAGCAAGACTTGTCCACTTTTGGATGCAGGACATGGGAGTATGTGTGTGTAAGGATGCGTGAAGAAGTATAGACTGTAGTCAGAGTAGATGCCATTTTAAATTTGATACATTTGATTTTTAATGAATACGAGGCTGTGAGGGTTAGAAGATAATGTCATACTGCTGTGTACAGAGGACTTTAAAACAATATTGAACACATTGAACCAGAGCCCCATTTTCGTTCACATTAAATAAAATATGTAAAAAATCAATAATTCACCAAATAAAATTATTCACCAAAAAATGTTAACTTTTGGAACACCAAAATGAAAACATACTCCTAAACCATTTTACTTCCATACTGTTTTACATACAAAACACAAAAAATTATATTAATTAAAATATATATTTTTTGTGTTTTGTATGCGTTATGTATTATTTTAGTGGAATTTGGAATAATGTGCACCTATGAAATTAACGTAATAAGACCAAGAAAATGTAAAAATTTTTTATTAAGGGCCCATTTTGATTTCATCTTAAAGTTAAAGATCCTTTTAAGTATGCAGACTACTCCAACTAGGGTCTATGTGATTGTGCATGTCTGTGTATGTAAGCGAGTTTGCGTGTGTGCTCCTACTTGTTTTAACCGATCCGCGTCTTATGGTGTGAGCTTTCAGTTTAAGCTGCTCTATCCAGGAGCTGCATCTGTCTGCAAAGGAACTGTAATCAACTGAGGAGGCTGGACACACACACACACACACACATATATATATATATATATAGACCGACATTCAGAAACAAACACAGATAGACACAAACACGCACATAGAAATATGCGGTCACAAATCCCGCAGACAAGTACATACACACAACGACACAACAGAGGGACAAAGAGAAGAGGAAACAAGACACAGAAAGAAAGAAAGAAAAAAAGGGGTAAAATGGATGATGCTAGTGTGTGTGCTGCAGCACTTCAAACTGTCACACACAAAAGGAGCAGAAATCAAAAGGGGAAAAAAACACCCTGCTGCCTCCAGAACTCTTAGCAACAGATCAGGTACTGACCTCTGGCTGATGGATGGCTGCCAACCTCTGATAGACCTGAGACACACAAAGGAAACCAATGCAGTGTTAAAGGGATGACACTAAAGAAAACAGGATTTTCCTTAATATTGTGAAGAGCCAATGTGCAATGTAGATATCAGATCTCAATAATTTTTCCTAAGATTTTCAGTGGTCCCAGCAAAAAACAAAAACAAAACAAAAAAAACACACAAACACACACATATTTTATTGTTCATTATTATCATTATTATTAGTTTTTATGTGACAAAAAATATATATTCTTTTTTTAATGTCAAAAATTTATATATTTTTTAATAAAAATAAATTAATAAATAAATGCATTTTATTTTGGTACAAGAAACTTATGCACTATAAATCGGCACTGTAATAGTTATGTCACCAATATCTGATTTTTTATTTATTTTAATTATTATTATTATTTTTTAATTTATAGGTATTAACCAATATTGTATATTTAACAGTTTGCACCAATTTTAAGATATAATTATTAAGAGAACATTATCTAGCCAGTGTTGTTTTAGTATAATGTACACAATTATATTTTTTATTAATATTTTGAATATTTATTTATTTTTTATATTTTCTGTTTTCATTTCATTTTAAAGTTTAGTAATTTAGTTGTGTTTTTGCCTCTTTTTTTTTTTTTTTACTTTTTTATACTATATCTATATAGTTTTTATTATTTATGTCAGCTTTAGTTATTATAGTACATCAAATTAAACTTAATGAAAATGAAAAAATATATATTTCAGTAGACGTTTATTTTATTTCAAGTAACGAAAATGTATTTTACGACTTTAGTTTTAATGAACTAATAATGCACCTAGTACTAACATAAAAGGATTACGGCTAACTTTTAAAGAGCTATAAAGGACTGTATGGGACATCGGGTGAAGTTTAAATCAGGATTCACCAGGGTTTACCTTTGGGGGAGCTGAGAGGATTGGGAGAAGATGTTTCAGCATTGAGTTCCAGATTGAACTGAAGCTGCTCATCTGTTATGGCTGCAAAGGACAATCAACACTGAGGATCTGCTTTTCAAAAAGGTGTGTCTTACATGAACATACTGTACATACAGCACATGCTTACCCTTTATCAGTGTCTTTTCCCCACTTTGTTTGCCATTTTCCAAAGTCTGCTCTTTGTCAAAGCTCATTGCCACAGCTGTTACCGCCACCTGCCAATTAAACAACACTAAGCAATAGGGCTGGGCGATATGGCCAAAAAAATGATCACGATAAAAACATTTTTATATCAATCGATATCAATAATTATCACGATAAATTTAAAATCTTTATTTCTTTTAAATTAAAGGTAAAGCTGTCAGATAAACTCCTGTTGCAGACTAGATGCAACAAACAACAGCTATTAGCATGAAAACAGCAGCACATACAGTCATATTTAATAAAGTACACTAAATGCACTGAGCATTATGGGTAATTGCACACTGACCGCTAATCCTAGCAGCATGGTCTCTCCCACGCTGATTTGGATACGTAGCCCGAACAAAGCATTCATGCCTCGTAGCTTCAATTTGTTCATCAGCTGTGTGTGGAGTTCGTACTCTAGAAATGGCAGAAGATTACTAATGGCCGTGGCGTTCCCTTCTCCCTGGGCCTTCTTTTTAGTCCTGCACAGCCTACAGTGAGATGCAGAGAATACCCGGATGATTTTCTGATTAGGGCTATCACGATTATGAAATTTGGCTGACGATTAATTGTCTAAAAATAGTCACGGTTTATGCGATTAATTGTCTGTTTTAGGGCTTTGACGATTATGCCGATTATCACAATGAATTTTCTGTTTTTATGGCTTTCGTTATATAATTGATTAATTTAAGGGTTCAGTAAATAATTATGATGTTATCTTTTAATCTTTTCGAGTTATTATTTTGCAGTGTAAGATTACATAGAGTATTCCAAATTCTAAGAATTGGCCAATACCGATCAAACACCAGCGCTATTTTTTTTCTACACCACTACAGAATATCATTACTGTGTTTGTGGAACTAATGGTCACTCTTTTAAACCCTTCGTTAAACGCAATCCACTATATCAACTATTTGTATTCTTACAAAATACATTCATGAATATAAAATAGAAATCATGAGAAAAAGAAAGGCTTCTAATAATCTTTCTGTTTGTGATAATTCCTTCCTTCCTTAAACTTAAAGTATTATAATGGGAATATATCATCTTGCTCATAAGCGCTGCAATTTCTGTTGCATATGAGAAACATCAAACGGCAAACGAAACTGAAAGCATAGCGAAACAGCGCTTAGAGAGTATACTCGCCGCCTCAGCACGAGCGCGAAGGTGCGCGCAGCAAAAATGACGTGCATATTGAGGAAACAGCACACACTTAACACAGCAAAAGAGAAACTCCCATTCACAAAATTTAAATCACAAATAATACTACTGATGATAAAGAACGGGTTGAATGTTAA